ACTTAAATCATTTTTTTCAGTAATATTGCAGCCTACCAAATTTTATTTTTTTTTAACTTTTCTACCAAATTCATTCTCCCACTATATTACTAGTAATTATAGTTTACTCAGTGGCGGAGCCACATACATCCTAGTTGTGGCATCGGCCCGGGCTAAATTTTAACACATTGTACATATTATATAGAATCATATAATTAATTATAATTTAGCCCTAGTTAAAATTATAATTTGGCCCGAGCTACAATTTGTAATTAGCCTATCTAAAACTTAAAATATTTTTGGTAAGAGATTTGGGTAAGTTGTATTAGGTTATGTGTTCAATTTCTACTTGTATAAACTTTTTTTTACTAAAAATTAAAAAATATTTAATAAAATTATATTTTTTCTTGGTACTGCTTGCTTAGGTACTTTGTATTTAATATAATTTAAATGGAGAGGATTATATTTACATTTTTTTTTGTTTACAAACTATACTATGTACTCCCGAAAAGTACACTAGATTATACTATGTACTTCGGGGAGTATATACTATAATTTGTACAAAAAATATAATTTTTTTTTATATCTCCAATTTAAATATATTATGATATAAACTAACTAAAATTAAAAAAATAAATACATATATAATTTTTTGGCCCAGCTCCACCACTGATTTTTCTGGTAATTTTTTTTTCCTCCACCAAACGTCCCCTAAAAGTAATTTTTTTTTTCTCAAAAATGTCCTTTATTAAATATTTGTGTTAAGCTAGTATTTGATTAAAGCATTATTTTTTCAAATTTCATATGAAATAATTTCAAAATATGAATGGCTTTATGTACTTACCCAATTTGTTCATTTTTTATTTCTTAATAAATTTTTTACTTAGGTGACATTTATTTTATTAAAATAATTGTACTTATATGATATTAAAAGAACACATGAATTGACCAATGCTATAGTTTTTTTTTTTTTTTTGGTAAACACCAATGCTATAGTTTTTATTGAAATAAAACCTGCTTTGGAAATTGCTTTTATTGAAACAAGAAATCAATGACTTAAAATTTAAGATTTTTTTTCTTACCAATTTTTTTTTTAAATTTTTTTAATTTGAATATTCTGTAATTATATAAAGTTAAAATAACATAACATTTAACATATTTTAAGAATTTATCGACTTAAAATTTACATTTAACATATTATTTAACCTATTTGAAAAATATTTATTCAAAATAAAAAAATTAATGACTCGAACTTATTTACTTTTTACTTTTTTGAAACCGGAATCAAATACCTAAATCCCAAAAATTAACAATAAGGAACTCTATCAACTACGTTATTATTTTATGAATTAACATATTATTTAATCTAGCAAATTATTTATTAAAAAATTAAAAGGTTTGAAACGTAATTTAATTCATTTCAATTTATTTTTTTTATAATAAATTGAATAACATTATCACGATATAAGGAAAACCTATATTGTTTAACCGAAAAAATTGAAACTGTAATTATTTATTATATAAAATAATCAGGAAGTGCTGTTATATCAAAAATTAATTATTATACTTTTCAATTAAATATTTGAATTGCCATATAAGTAATATTAATTTACTAGTTTAACCCTACTACTTGACAACGAACATTTAGAAAATGAGAGAGAACTTAACTCAAAATTATAATAATTAAACAAAGAGATTAGTGCCTACCAAAAAACAAAAACAAAGACATTAGTATTTGTCATTTTAAAGTGCACCGATCGTACCGGTAATAAATGGTATGAGTAAGAGATCAATTCAACGAGGATTATATTTTAACCACTAATTCATTATTTACGATTAAGTTGGACAATTGATCAAAAGAATTGTATGAAAATTAAACTAAGGGATGTATTGGATTAGGATTTTAAAAGAGTTTTTTGAGATAATTTTTTTTATAGATTTTAAAAGATATATAGAATTGGAGGGACTTTAAAGACTTTTTTAAAATACTTTTCTTACAATCAAGATTTCATAAGATTGGAATTTAATGGATTTTAATAGAATTTATAAGTTTTGAAAGAAAAATATGGATTTATAAGATTTTAAAAAATCATATAAATTTTTAACAAAAATTCAAAATTACAAGAGTTAATAAAAAAGTGAAAGGTTATACTTACAACCTATTTTTGTTTACAATCATATATTAACTGTTGATTTTTGTCAATCAATGGTTATCATTCATTGCGAATTAAATATTAATTAAGGAGTTTGATTTGCGAAAATAATAATTGTTATTGAAAGAAATCAACGGTTAAGATATGATTGTAAAATGTTATAAACAAAAATAGGTTGTAAGTATAACCTAATATAATTTTCTCAATCAGTAAAACATAATATAATTTTTTAACAAACATTCAAAATTACTAAGCAATAGCTTTTCACATATCTAAAGTTATATTAGTCCTCATGTATTAGCATTTTCTCGTTCCTGGTTTTGGCTTTGACCATTGGGTTGAAAATTATCTTCTTCGATTGGTATCAAAGCTATGCATATATGATTATAAGACCCAAATTTTTTAATTATTAAAATAATTCTAAATTTGCATATAGAACCTATAGTTCATGATAAAATTTCGTTTGAATTTTTTTGCAATTGATCTTAAAAGCCTTGGAGTTTTTGTTATACGTGATGAGTGTTTCCTAACCATATATCATATGCATATTTTAATTGAATATTCTAAGAAAAATTTGAATATGAATTTTTGGGTTTTATTACATGAAAGTTTAGTAAATTTATCAATTTTTTTTCAATTGCTTTGGGGCTTTTGAAAAACAAGTTTTTAATTATCTATTGACACAAAAATTGTTTGAAATCGTTTTCAATAGTGAAGGAATTTCGTTCATGAATGTATTATTACGAAATATAGGGTTCATCTCATATTATGAATGTTTCAATCTTTCTTTAAATTGATATTGTTTTATTGATGTATAACAAAAATTGGTTTGAGGATTTTAGTTCCTTTGATATTTTCGCACTGTTTTATGATGTTTTTAATACAAAAATTACACTTTTTTGTGATAAGAAAAATCGTAACCCGTAACTTGAAAATTCACTTTTTAAACTTTAAAAATTTCTAAAAAATGGCTCAAAAAGTGAAAATCGCATAACAATTTATAAGATTATATTAAAATCTCATTGGTTTGTTGTTTCTAGGTTGTTTTGTGATGAAAATCATTTAAAAATATGCTATTTTTGAGCTTTGAAGAATCCCACGGCAGAACCCGATTTCGAGCGGGTCAACCTGCTAATGGAAGAAGCAAATAGTGCAATAGAGAAATCTCAAGAAATCCTACTAGTTATGGTGAGATGATAAAAGAGACATCATATTTATATTTCTTACTAAAAAGTCTCAAGAAATCCACACCAATAGAAAATTTATTAAAATGGTTAGATTTTTGAATACCATAAGATTATTTTTCCATTGTTTAAAATCTTGATTGAGTACCAACAGATTTAGACGAACTCTAAAATAATGTTTTAAAATTCTAATCGAATACCACATGACTTTTTTTCAATTCGTTAAAATTCTAATTAAATACCAATGGATTTTTTTCTCAAAAATAATCCATTAAAATCCTTTGAAATTTTGATCTAATACAAAGCATAGATAGCAGAAGTATGTTGAACTCTTGGCATCGCAATAAGTTGTATGCATTTATGGAATTCAACATTGAAGCATGCACACACCCTAAACATCCAAAAGAATTAGTAAATAATTCAACTTTCTACAAACAGGTTCAGCTTCTATAAAATTTGCCTCAAAATCTCACATTCTAGAAGAATAATGACGCTTAATGCTTGAAATAAAAAATGAAATGTACCTCTAAGATCATCAATCATATTGCCAGGGTATATATCTCTAAGTGGTGGTAAAATTGCAGGAACACATGTCTGAAAATGAAAGAAAATGGTGCAAACATCAGAAGACAAAGATCCATCTATTAATATTCAGAGACAACACAACTAACACTTAAAACATATGATCGTGGAGGTGCAAACTACTTTAGCTAGTAACAAATCTTCAGACTGAACTGAGCACCTAGTACTTTTTTCAAGACTAGGAGGCTGAAGGCTATCAAATGGTTGAAGTTATAGTTCATGTAGGAAGAAAACAAAAACCGAGTTATTTGACAATTAAAAAATGTAATTAGGTTTGAACTTTCTCAAAATATCCCTTTTACATTATGAATTAAATCATTAATTAAACGTCTTTATTATACCCTCAATCAATTCCCCTAAATTAATTAAGTCTTCATCCTTTGACATTCTAATTCTTAACTCTATTTAAAAAATCATAGTTTTTTTGATTGTTCTTCGAAAAAAATAAACATTAAATTCAAGAATCAAGATTGCATAATCCCTCTATATTCCTGAAATCATAAAAATTAATATTAAATTTATTACACACGATTCATGTATCAATATCGTACACTCATCTTCAAACAATTTTCTCTTAAATAAAATTAACAATAAACAATTCTCCGTGATATCATGTTTTTATTTTTTTATTTAAATATATTTCGGTCACCACTGTGGAATAGAGAGTGGTCACGGACGGTTCACGGTGTCTTTATTTAGGGAAAGAAAACAAAAACAGGAAAAAAAGAGTAGAGGCAACGCAAGGTATAAATCAGATACTTCACCAATCACCTGGCCTAATTTTAATTTTAATCTAAAAAAAGAAAAATCTAATATCTTCGTAACCCGAAACGCTTTTTCTTTAGCTTTTGCCTTAACATTATCGAAATGAAGATAAATAACAAAAGAAAGAAATATCCCAAATGGAAATTTCACTTTCTGGCTTAGCCATCACCAGTCCACACACACCGCAAGTCAAGTCGGCAACGCGCTTGCCCCTTCCCTCCTTCCAAATCCACCTTTCACAAAACTCTTTTATCTATTTAATTAATTATTATATATTTATATATTTCCTACTATGTTTATTAAATTAAAAATAAATCCATAAAAATAATAAGTAATTTTGATTGATTCCGTATTATTTATTTATAATATGGGTTTCCGATAGTAGTAGTAGGACCGGTCCAGCCGAGCCGATCCGATGACGCGAGCCACGCACACACTGGGGGTTCCCCCAACAACACGCGCCCTTCCCCGGCGACCGTACCGTATTATCTCCCAACTCTTTCGCCTTTCTTTTGCGTCCGCCGTTTCACTCACTTTCTCTCTCTCTTTCAATTTCTCTCTCATCATCGAACCCTAATTCCCTTTTTCCGATGCCGGACTTTCACGATTCCCTCACGCCGCCGTCACGCCCTGTCCCTGTCCGCGAGGATTGCTGGTCTGAGGAAGCCTCTTCTACCCTCGTCGACGCCTGGGGCCGCCGTTACCTGGAACTCAACCGCGGCAACCTCCGCCAGAAGGACTGGCAGGATGTCGCCGACGCCGTTAATGCCCTCCACGGCCTTACGAAGAAAACCCACCGCACCGACGTCCAGTGTAAGAACCGCATCGACACCATCAAGAAGAAATATAAGATCGAGAAGGCTAGGGTTTCGTCTTCCAATGGTATTCTTTCTTCCTCTTGGCCTTTCTTCGAACGATTAGATGCTCTGATTGGCCCCAATTTCAGTGCCAAAAAATCATCCTCTTCACCCTCGCCGTCGCCTCCCGTCGCTCTCCCCTTGTTGCCTCAACGGAAAACCCCTTATTCCCCTGCGATTGCTGTGCCGCCGATGGCCGTGGTGCTGCCGCAGAAGCGGCCTGCGGCGATGACGATGGATGATGGTTACTTTAGGAGGAATTATTCTGCGATGGCCGCTGCCGCGGCAGCTGCGGAGGATGATGAGGAGGAGGAGGAGGAGGAGGAAGAGGAGGAGGAAGAAGCAGAGGAGGAGGAGGAGGATGAAGATGAAGATGAAGGGAGGGGAAGTGAAGTAGAGGAAGGGGAGAAAGAGAGGGAAGGGATGAGGAGGTTGGCGAAGGCAATAGAGAGGTTTGGGGAAGTGTATGAAAGAGTGGAGGGACAGAAACTGAGGCAGATGGTTGACTTGGAGAAACAGAGGATGCAGTTTGCTAAAGATCTTGAAGTGCAGAGGATGCAGATGTTTATGGACACACAAGTTCAGCTGGAGAGAATTAAGCGCGGGAAAAGATCTGGGTCTAATGGTGAGATTAAAAAAATTTCAGCTTTTTTTCTTTTCTTTTTCTTTCTTTCTTTTGGTTTGGTTTGATTTGATGACATGCCGAACTTTTTAGTGTTATATTTTTTCAATGAATGAATGCTGTTATGCATTATATGGCTTTTGAACCCGATGACAGTGGGTCGCAAGGGGAATCCTCAATGCGTTGTTTTTTGGTGGTAAAATAAAAACTTTTTGTGTTGATTTTGGATTCCAAGAGTGCAATGAGTGATGTGAAGTGGTTGTTTCTTATGGTTTGCAATTAAATATACTAGCAAGCGGTGCGCTTTAGTTCTTTGATTTGCAGAGTTCTTCATAGTTTATAATGAGACATTTTTCTATAAATTTTTTTAAGAAAAGTTGAGCTAGTCTTTTAAACTTTAAAGCTTTGACGGGCTTCGACAAATGGTTTAGTACTGTGGTGGCATTTTTAAGAATTAGGTGACTATAAAGTGAAGGGCTTTGGTTTATTTTACATCTTTTAATAATAGCGTTTACAAGTGAAAGTCTAACGAGTGACTGATTATTTTACGTTGTGTTTTTTACCACAGCAGCTTGTTTCTGAGGCACTGTTTCTTCGATTAGTTGTGTTGGGTGTTATTATTTTTATGTCTGTGTAGATTGACTTAATTTTGACTAAACAATCTTACATTATGAAGTAACATTGTTTTTCTTTGATGTTCGGCTTCCTAATTTGAAATGTAATGGGAACTTGGAAGTTTGATATATCGTAAACTCAATTCTGGATCTATTTCAAAGCCTAAAATGTTGTTCAAATTTCAAAGCCTAAAGTTTGATATATCGGGAACTTGGTGTCTGGCGGTCTAAAATGTTGTTCAAATTTCAAAGCCTATATTATATCTATTTCACAATAACTTCTACATCTAAATGGGTTCACAGGTCGGGGGTAATTTTTTTTGTCTTTGTGGCAGTAGTGTGTTGGAAGTTTCTCACATTCAAAGCTTTGTTTTTAAGTACTGCATTCAGTGGTTGTTATTGCATTTTGCTTTCCTTTTCTATCTGATTGAAATAGAGCTATGCATGGCAAATCGGTGTTGTATTTCTACTTTTATAATATCAGTGCAGAACCATGTGTGGTACATGCATGCTGTATTTCAACTTTCATAAATATGGTGCAGTTTTGAGTAGTTGTTGTGGTGTAATCCTTTTAAGGTAAGAGAAGAAAATATTTTGATGATTAAACTCTTGGGTATTTTTGGCACACTGATATTGATTTAGGATATAGGAAGGAAACACTAACAAGCCGTCGCTGATTGTCATCATTGGAAAATGATGACAAGTATATATTAACTATAAATAACATACGCTATATGAATCTGTTGGAATGGTTATTAGATCTCTTGCATGGATTCTGCAAATTTAACTGATAATTGAGCCCCAAAAGACGTGATGGATTGAGCTTTCTCTAGTATCTTCACCAACTGTGGCAGAAGTGTATCCTCTACTAGAAAATGAACACAGGACTCTCTTACAGATTGCCCGCCAGTTTGCTGCCTGGCCATCTATTGACAGTGGGTTAAGAGTGTTTGGATTCACTTTTTTAATTTAAAAACAAGCCATTATAAATCTTTTTTAAGTGTGTTTGGATTTGTGTGTTATCTTATTAAAAAAGGACGCTAAAAGAAGCACTTTTACCACTTATTTTCTAAGTCAACGATCCTCTGCTTCTGAAATAAGTGGAAGGATAAGTGGTTATAAAGACTTAAAAGTTCTATTTTCATATGTTCATCAAAACGAGCTCTAAATCATGTATTTTGAGCATTGGTATTTGGGGTGGCAAATTGATGGATTTTGGATTGGGTCATAATGGATGGATGAAAAATGAACCATTAATCCATTTAGGATCCATAAAAAATTTGTGAAAACCAATGTATCCATCCATGACAAATTTAATAGATGAATCCATTTTGATGGAAAGGGTGGATGGATATTCAACCCACTTTTGAAGTCTTTTTTTTTTTTTTTTTTTTTGTAAATCTCTCTCTCTCTCTGCAGACTGCAGTCTGGCATTAAGCTGCATCAATAAAGGGAAAACCTTGGTACACAAGGCTCCTCGACTTTATGAGGGTAGGGATGAGGGTTAATTGTATGCAGCTTTATTCTTATATTTTTGCAAAGGGACGGTTTTCCATACTTAAATCTGTGACCTTCTGGTCACGAAACAACCTTACTGCTGCTCTGAGGTCGCCCTCGGGAAGCTGTATCCATCATATGGGTAATAGTACTGAACCAGAGATTAAGAAAGAATGGGAAGAAAAGACATAATTTTTATTAGAATTATCTTCCCCAACTCTAGATCAATGGAGTATCGAGGTTCAAGAAGAGAAAGAATGGTGTTCAAAGCCCTTCTCACTCAGGAATTCGAGAGCCTGACCTCTCTCTCCAAAAAACCAACTATCACCCAGAAATGAATTCCAGTCCTATCCTCTCCTACTCTTTATAACCTGCCTCTGACCATTCAATCAGAGGTCTAACTACTATCGTTAACTAACTCTAACTTCTTCAACTAATTGAGGCTGGTTCATTGGGCCAATTCTTATTTCTTCTAACATAGACTTTCCTGATTGGGTGTGTGCTCTTAACACTTGCTGTTCAAGAAAAGGTGCCACTAACCACTGCAAGCTCTGTGATGACGTCCCAGACTTTCTATTTGCATAAAGGGATCTGGTATTTGCAAAGGGATAGGTTTGGATAACCAATTAAAAAGTTGGATATATTGATTCTTGGATATCCAATAAAAATTTTGGTTGGTTTACCAACCATCCATTAATTAAAACTCATCCAATTCAGTCATTTCAATAAACTTATTATTATAATTGGATGGATGGATGATGGATTAATGGATACAATAGCCACCTAGCCACCCCTATTTAATATGGAGCTGCAAGGGTTGGACTGAGGTATACAAATTTGAAAGGAACTGTATAGTTAGGTGATTTTCTTTCCTGCTGCTGCATGGTGCAACTCATTGTTTTTTCCTCTTGATTATGGACAAGTAGTGGCTGAGATAGTGATGTCCTGGATCCTTAGCATGGTTTTCTGCAGCGAACATGAACTTGCCTTTGTATTTCTGCAGCAAAAATATGGATTGGGTACTAGTCACTTGTCTTGATCTTCCTTTTGACCAATCCAGTGTCCTTATATTACATTTATAGTTAGGTGAAATGTTCCATCTTCGAGCTCTTTGGGCTCTTAAATTAAAACATGTGGTTTTCATGAATGTGATCACGATATCTAGTTACCAAAATCATTCCCCATTAAACCCCGAATAGCAAGGCTAGGGGTGTCAAGATATCTGGTTACTTGAATATAATCAATTTGAGTATGTAAGAAGGATTATGTCTTGGAGATGTGCACCTATTCTTATATGAAAGTTTATTTCTTGATTCTTGATTTGAAGTTAATTGTAAATTTAGTTACTTTCTGGACTCTGTTATTCCCTGTGTTTTTTGACATGTCTCACTGCTAGAACAAAAATAATATTGTCATCATTTTTTATATTTGGTGTTTGGAATTTATATATGAATGCCAAAATATGTTTGATTTCCATCTTTTTCCTTTTTTTTTTAGAGTTTGGGGAGTATCATGTTGTCATGTATTTCTTCTAAATGCTGAATCTTGGGGATCCTTCGATTCAATTGCTGTTGCTTCTCTCAGTTTTTGTTTACTCTCTCTTCTATTTGAAGAATGCTCATGGAATTGATTTTGATTTGGCTATATCTTTCTGTATATGAATAGTTTTGTGATATTCTTTGCTTTGAGAACATGGGAGAAGAGTGAGTTACCGGTTCAAAATGTCGGGTATTGTACAAGTTTGATTTTCTTCTAGGAGAAAAAGAAAGGCAATGGGAGAAATGGAGAACAGTTGATTAATTCATTTGGTGAATTTTTCAATGATAATATTCAGGAAACACAAAATAAATATTCAGGAAACACAAAACAGCGGGAAAAATGATAATTTATATACCTAATTATGTTGTCCTTTTTTCTTACTCTGTTTGTTATTTTATCTGGTAGGTTTATAACTTATATCACTGACATGGCCTTAAATGTATCTGCTAATCTTACTCCCTTTATTTTTTTCTCTCCAAATTTACTTGCTTGGTTCAGTACCAAACCAATGCTATCAAGTATCAACTTTCGACGAGTTCTGGGTTTGAGAAAAATGCTTATAAGACATTTTGTTGTTGATGTGCACATAATCTCTTGGATTGTAATGACACTATTTATGAAATGGGGGAGATATAGATTGTTTTTGAGGGACAGGTTATTATTTTTTCTAAGTGTTTAACCATTTATCTTAAAAAAGGGGTAGCGATGGCATTGTGATACATGGTGATAGGACGAGTGCCTTGCTGCATCTTATTCTGAGCAAGACAATGGCTTGAGTCTACTCATCAATCGAAGGTTGTTGTGTTAGTCATGAGTTGTTTGTACAGTACCAAAATACTTTATTGGAGAAGTTTCATTTTGTAAAATGATAAATGTGTATGTGGGATAACCCGGTAAAATTCATTCAACTGGTATACAAATCCTACTACCATCCATCGTTAGCATTTACAAATTTCTTTTGGTACAAAGAGCTGGGATCTTTATTAAATTCTTCTGATTGTTTTACGCTTGATATATTAGCTTTGTATAAATATTCTTCCTCAAAGGCATTATACTTTTTGGTTGCAAGTGATTGCATGTATATAGATATTAACTAGCTGCTCAAGATGCGGTGTTGTTTCCGTTTACAAAATGTTTATAGCTTTTACTGTTATATAGTTGCATGACTGCAGTAAATGTCTCCTCTCTGACTTTATATATATTTTATCATTGTAGAAATCTTGATGGTCCTTGATATGATCATATAACTAGTGAAGTAATGCAACATAGTAGAAATGGATTTTACTTTGAGTTTAAATAGTTGATACTTAAGAAATGAAAGGATGTTTAGTATCGGGTGTATTCAGAGGATTTGTTGATTTATAAGTTGATGACAGCTTCTGATAGCACCTAACTCAACTTACATGTCTCACATTTGTGCTCAACTATTTTGACAAACTTGTTCATTGCTGCAGATATGTATAGCTAGCCATGTGGGCGATACTTGGATGATGTTGGTGCTCGAAAGGCTATCTTGCATTGGGTAATAAGCATGGCAAAGTACATAACTTCAGCTGATACTGTCGTGAGGAGATTTCCAATAGAAATTTATCCTGGAGTAATTTTGGATTCTTTTAGCTAGAGTTTTAATTTGTTGTTATTAGCCCTTATAAATTAATTTAGCAACTGTACTAGCCTAATTTGGGCTCCGATATAGAATTTGCTTCGATCAATGTATAACACTTTTTTTTTGTCTCAATTGCCCCCCCTCCCTCCCTCTCTCTTCCTTTTAATCCTCAGTTCTGTTTCTCCCAAACGGCATGAGAAATGGGTACCAAGCCGTTTAAAAAAATATTTGCACACTAATTTTATTAGTTTTTCTATATCAATTTTATCTCTTTCTTTTTTCATAAGAAGGTATGTGTAAACAAAACAATGGTGTTAAAATTGTTCTGAAAAATAAATGTATGTAATATTAGGGAGGGAATTCTAGCTCATTCGGAGTAATCAAATTGTTTTTTCTCCACGAGTTTGTTTGTTTTTTTTTTTTTTTTTAATTCTTAAAATTGCATAAGAATTTAAGTGTTAAGCTCAAGTCCGATTACCATTTTAGCCATGCCCGAGGTATTATGCCAAACTATTTCAAACACCAAGTTACAATTGATATACTCAACAATCGAAATCCGGATTATTTATCTTGTGCGACATCTCAATCGTTGTTCATTGCTCAACAAACCATTGGTCACCTTATTCTGAGATACATTTGGAGTAGACAAAACGCACTATCTTGTTCTTAGTCTCCGTTTGGTGGGTCGGTAATAGAAAGCTCATAGGTTACGGGTAGGGTTGGCAAAACGGGTCATCCCGACTCAACCCGACCCAATCCGCATTCAACTCGAAAAAAATGAGCCGGGTTAGGGTTGACTCGAAAAATAAACGAGTCAGAAAACTCAACCCGATCTGAGTCGGGTTAAGGTTGGCTCGCGGGTTAGCTCGAAAAAATGAAAAAATAAAATAAAATTCTAATGATGCTATAACTTCTAATTTTTTTTTTAAATTATTAAACCATTCAATACAAAGACAATATACAGATAAATCATAAATTTTTTTGCATTTGGACTTGGACTTTTTGACAGTTGGCATCACATTCACACTATCACACATGCTATAAAAAATGTCCTTAATGCACGGTTTTGAACTTATTGGCAGTTGCATGGTATTTTGGTTTGGGTCTTTGGAATTGGGATTTTAGGTTTTAGCTTTCCACTTTACCTTCATTAATTTTTACACTTTTATTATAAAAATAAACCAAAACCCGTGAGCCAACCAATTTGACCCATAGATTGACTCGGTTTTTTTCAAACTGAAACGAGTCTGGCTGACTCAAGTTTCTAACTCATTTTCTCTAACCCAACCTGATTCATTTTAGCCGGGTTACGAGCCAACCCGATGGATTGACTCATTTTTGCCAAGCCTAGTTACGGGAATTACCCAACGTGCTTGGTTACATAAACTTGAGAATGGTGATAATCTACCAAAAACAATAGTACTTTTAGAGAATTTCTTAAATTTTTGTACTTATTCACTAGTTTTACAATAAGGAATATTAATTAATAATATTTTAAAATAATTTAGAATTGTCACAAAACTTAATTATTAACTAATTATACAAACATGCCATGAACAGCTGATTCTTATTGCGGGTGTAACACAACCAATAAAGGCGTTAAATTACAGCTTATGAGAAAAAGTGAGGACCAGATTGAAACCACAAGACTGCTTGTGCATTTTAAAATTTAATTTAATTTTTGTTAAAAGTTTAATTTAAGAATTTAATTTTAATGTAATTTTAGTGTTTATCACTCAATCATCATGTCATTAAGAAAGTTCGATTCTATATCTCCAAAACAAGAAAAGAAAAAAGAAAGTTCGATTCCCGCATCAACTTTTTCAAAACTAATATTTTTTTTTAATGATGTGGCAATATATACCAAAAAAAATTTACACCGACAATGTAATCAAAATTAAACTCTTCATTTAAATTTTTTTGTTTTATAGAAAAAAAAAAATGTCAAAGGCATTTGTTTGTGATAATTTTAATAAAAAATGCAGGTTTTTCTTGCCTATAAAAAATACAAGCATAAGTAACAAAGCATTTCCAATCCCATTTCAAATGTTTGTGGAGCTTATTGTTCTTCAAACATAAAGGTAATAATTTTATAAAATTACAATAACATATTTATTTATTATTACTTTTTTTTATTTAATTTTATTTTTTTACATTCCTTTTATTTTTATTTTTATTTATATATATATATATATATATATATATATATTATTTTATTTATTTTTTATTTTTATCCCTTCGTATCTTTTATTTGGGTTCATCTACCATCGACCCCAATTAGTTTGGGATAAATGTGTTGTTGATATTGATGGTGATAATAACATATTGCAATATTTGTATATGAGTAAGATTATACTTACAACCTATTTCCGTTTACAATCTGTTACAAATATATATTAAATTTTTGACAATCAACAGTTATTATTTTCACAAATCAAATTCATTAATTAATTAAATTCACAATAACTAATAATCGTTGATTGACAGAAATCAACGGTTAAAATATAATTGTAAGAAGTTATAAATAAAAATAGGTTGTAAGTATAACCTTCCTCTTTATATATAAATTCTATAATTAATTTTTAAAATAAGCCTCGAAAATATACAGCTTTTCTTTGAAGTTACTTGCGTCGCGAGAAAAATATGCACGAGGAGCTATTTAATAGTTTATCGTGAACTAATAGCCAAAATTACGGGAAAATGTGGTTGAAGACTTTAATGCCTATAACTTCACAACTCTAAAAGGCTGCACAGGAATCTCTTCACAACATTTGCTGTGTAATGAATCAATTAATGAAGCCCGAGAAATTCTAGTTAATTATGTTTTGTCACTCACTACTAATCCAGATGTCTTAAACGCATGACCTTTTCAGCATAATGCCTAAAATGCCGAAATAAATGTATCAACATATATCTTTTAAGATTTAAATAAAAATAAACATCATAGGTTTGAAATCTCATTGTCGACACGACAGCTTGAAAGAGCAGCAGGAAAACAGCTGGTTTTGCATTATATATATATAAGGAAGTATATCAAGATAGAAAAGGAAAAGTAATTTATTATGATAGCGAGATGCAAATTTGGATCACTTTTTATTGCAATGTATATCATGTAGTATAACCAATTTAACCTAATAACTTAAGCTTAAATCGGTAATCAAGTGATTCTACATTAATAATTTTATAATAAACTTCTCTAACAATTACTGAATAATACATGCATGGCAGGCAACCAACTCTCTGGATGAAGGCATATAAATGATTTTATTATACCTCTTAACAGTGTATGCCATATGTGCATGTGTGCGTGTGTGAGAGAGAGGTATAGTAGTAGCAGAAGACTGTAAAGCTAGCCATTCTAACCGCTTCTATGTTGGAGATGAGGTATAATATATGATAAGAACTTACAAATATATTTAAGACTTAATCAGACCAAACTTACTCCAAAAGGATTATTCTGAAGTTCTAAACTACTAAGTGGGATATCAATAATATTTTTCTGTGATAATTTTTGGTCGAAGCAGTAGAGATGATACTTTTAGGGCATGCTCGTTCTCTTTGGCAAATTAAATCCCCAATCCAAGTAAAGTCACTCGTGTGGCCAGTCCTGCATGCAAAGAATATTCAACAAAAGTGATTTATTTTTGCAGTCAAATCCTTTGGATACTGTAAGTTATACCCACATAATCACAGTGAGAAGTCACTCAATATTAAAATTGGTTACAAAAATAGCATTTTCGAGTGGCTTTAGCCTTTGGATGTCTAAAAAATATGAATTCCAAACATGAGAAATTGCAGTGTAACTTGTCAAAATGCGTTTCCACAAATTCAGGTGACCAAACCTCTTTACGGTACATCTAAAACTTGCATAGACGGCAAAGAGCAATTCAGTATGGCTATAATCACAAAGATACATAAACATGAAACTCAATCACGCTTGGCCTCTTTATAATTCTTAATGAAGTTTCCAAGTTGCAATAAAAATTTCATCCCAAATAATATGGTAGTAAAACAATGTATACTATTATAATTGTTATCAAATAATTGAAAAAAAAGGGTAAAGAGAAAATGAATCTGTAACAAATCAAGCTATTTTCCATCATACAAAAAAATTACTTTTTTTCTAGTTGCGATTTTAATTTTAATTTTGTTAGATTAGTACATGAGAGATAACAATGATATGCTTCACGAAGTCTCATTGAGAACGACAAGAATGATCTCTGGCCCCCCCTATTATCTCGCAAAACCAATGGTTGAATTGTTTTGGACAAGAGCTTTAATTACAAGAGCACTAGTACTTATCCTCTTCATTTTTCGTAGTAAATATATTTAAGTTTTACTTTAATTATCTGTAAGTTTGAGTTATATAGCAGGATATATATATTTTCCTTCTCTAAAGCTCTTCATCTTGTGAAAAGGTGGTTTTCAATTCCTAATTTTTTTTATAAAAAATTTCTACTTGTTCTTTTGTCGAGGCATAAGAGTGACTCTCCCAAGACCATTTAAAGCTCAAAATCAAGATGTTTGATTAAAGAGAATAAACTCCTTATTGCTTAAACCAATGGTTATTAATAATCCCTATTCATTTCCTTAATAGGAAATGATTTTACAAGTTGAGCCAATTAACACTGTGACATTAGCATATAATCTACTCCCAAGATTTTTTCGTGTTATTAAAATGAGGAATATTTATATACACGAATAAGATTTTAAAGAAACAAAAACTTTTATGATATTTCTTTAAAACAATTTCTCAAAAATTATTGTGATTAGTGTTTCTCATGTTGTAGGAGATAATTTTATTTCCTATACATATAAAAGTATATGTGACCCATTTTTTTTTCTATCTTCTATTTACATGGCCCCACATACTTTTATGCGTGTGTAGGGGATAAAATTATCTCCTACAACATGATAAATATTAATCTCAAAATTATTTCATATATATCTTCTAAGAAAAGCATTAAAATACATTTTTTTATATTTTTATTTTTATTTTTTAAAATCCAATTATCGTTGAACTTTTAGAATTTTTTTTAATAAAGTACTTCTTTCTAAGAAAAAACTTAATCAAATGGGCCTGTAAAATTCATTGTTACAATTATAATGTTATATACTGTTAAATAAGGATGTGGCGTCCTATATCTTTTTTTTTTAATTTTATATAACTTAAAAAATAAAGATGAAAAACTCAAGGAAGTTGTTATGTTACTTTGTGAATATAGTAATTTTTCAGCATTTATTGACTATTGAGTTTCCAATAAAAATGTAAAAGTTTATTAAATATAAGGAGCTCCTTGTATACTAAAGTAATGCATATAAAACACAATTATCAAATGTAAGTGATGCATCATTAATATCAATTAGATAACATAAATCTTAATATCAAGCACACAACATTATACTTACATGTATATATAGATTACTATACTAGATTTTGAACACATTAACGAATATACCACTCAAAATTACACTAACTACAAACATTAACGTGTTAAGCATCACACATGGTGTGGATTAAACAGCTAGTTCGTGTTATGTTCACCACACATCCTACCATAGTGGCCAATATATATTTACATAGAAATCTTGTGTATAGTTGTTAATACAAGGCACTATGGAAACAAACAATATTAATCTATGCAATTTCCTCTAATATATTAAAGAGTGAAAACCATTCCTATGTTATTAATTAAAAGCTGAAGTTTTTCGATTAGTTTAGTTTTAAACTTACATCAAAATCTCCTCTATATAATCAGTCATTTGATCATTGCGACACCTACTTTTCATAATTAAAGTGTTCATATGTTTCAAGGTCAAAACAACCTCTTGTGAAGTATAACCAGTTTAAAAAAATTATTCATACGTCTTTGTTAATAATATAAACTTTTAGATTGATTCAAATCTTGCCATGTAACATTTGATTCATATATGCAGTGATCCTGGTTCTTTACAAGGCTCAAATCAATTAAAATATTCAATCTACTTATATTAAATGTAGAAAGCTATTTTGTTTTTCCATCGGTGGGACAGTTCTTAATTCGATATCCTAAAGATTACTTTTTGCAATCAAGGATCATTTTGAGGTAGGCTTAAGTAAGCTATTCGAGATCATATTTTGATTCCAATATGGCAATATCCAATGTCTCAAGTGAACTAACAAGTCAACTCAACATTAATTGATTAGTTAGTGTATATATTTAAGGGTAATATTTTTTTTATGTTGTTTATGTCATACTCAAACAATAAATAAGAAAGAGAAAAAAATTAGAATAGTAAATAAGAAAGAGAAAAATTAAAAATGAGAAAAAAAAAATCTGATAGGATCCATTTAAAAAATGTAAATATATGAAATAATATTTCACTTATGCAAGATCAGAAAAATATTACCCAATATTTAAATAATCCCGATAACCAATACACACCCTCGATACAATTTTCGAGTATTCTAATTAAAGTTGTAACTTTGACATTTCAAAATCGTCAAAACCTATTACAATAGCGTCAGTCTCGAGGATGAACAGAAAGGGAAAGAAAAAGTTAAGCTTCCAGAGAGAATGTAAAAAAAAAAAAAAAAAAAAAAAAAAGGCTTGTAGAGAAAAAAAAAATGATTTATATAAATTTTAATGTTGAGACTCTAACCACAAAGATAATCAAAGCAAACGAGAATGTTGGCCTTTAAATAGCAGGGTTGTCAACCATGATAAAACATATTTTCAAGGAAATATTCGTTCATTTATACTCTATTATTAAGACACGGACTCTATATGATAGATACAAGACTAGGTGCAAATAAAAGTTCCTCTATGATGTTGTAAAATAATGGGAGACAAGCGTTGTTTAGAGGTGCTTGAAGAGAGGTTCCAATAGATGAGCATTGACTTTTCCAAATTGATGGTCTCAAGTTCAAACCTTATACGGATATGGAAGTATAGAAAGAGGCAGGGAGGGAGAGACTACCGACCAATAGGAGGGACCAATAAAATGAAATTAACTAATTTAAACAACTAGCTAGTAAGAATGTTTATGTGATTTTAGTTTCAAGCCTATTCTGGAAGTAGATAGATTCATGTATACACTTACATAATGGAGCCTGAACCTCAACGTCAAACTGAAATATCCACCCACTAGAACAATCTGGTAGGTTATCGTTGAACTATTTGTCTATCTACATCGTAGACTTCCCTTTTTTTTATCTACAAGACAAAATTCTCATTCTACTTTCTCTGTTTTCCCTTTCTTCTTTTAGACAATATTTGGAGGTCATCTATTTTTTGGATAATTTTTTTAAAGTGTCCTCAAGCTTTCGACAACAAGAGACAAAAGTATAGACAATCTTATCATAAAGATATGACAAACAAATTAAAAGGAAACATCCAAGGCCACTTTCGTGTAATTAATCTCTCCTCCTCACACGCATTAGAGGCTAGATTAATTAAGCATCTAAAAGTATGGCCAACATTAGAGACAAATAGATAAAACAATTAAGTTTTCTACTTTGTTTCTAATGTTACACAATTTTTTTATTTACGGTCATACTGCCTACAAGTTGTCTCAAAGAAGGATTGCGTGTTTATAATTTAAACCTGTATACGTTTAAATGACAAAATTCAAGTATGTTTTAGGTTCTACGTCAATTTGTATGTAACCACATGCAACGTATGATACATGAAGCTCACATATCCATGGGGAACACAAGAAATCTCGTATAATCAGAAATAGGCCCAAAATCAGCATAAAGTAGACAACTAAGAAGTATTTAATTAGGAAACTGCAATAAAAGTGTTTTGAATGATAGGAGAGAGAGAGAAGGGGAGAGAGGGTGTGCTTTCTAGCCTAATTATTATTCTTACATTCTCTCAGCTAGTAAACTAGCTATTCTCTAAGCAGTCAATTTCTCAATCCACAATAGGAATTTAGGGTTTGTATTCAGCTGCTAGGGTTTTGTATACTCCAATCTGTATCTCCATATATAACTGAAATATTTTACCCTCTAAAAGTTATAAAAAGGCTTCAAATTAATTTCCCCATTATATATCTATAAGTCCTATTTATAAAACTCATAAGTTGCATTCAAATTCAAGCATAATAAAAAGCAACTAACTAATTTATAGCCATATAATATATGAAAAAAAAAAAAAAAATTTACCATCCATCTTAAGAAGCCAATTGCTTGAAAGACTTTGAAGTCTCATGAGTCCCTTTAATTTGGTTCCTCTTCTTCTTTTTCTTTGTGTATGGAATCCCTCTTGCCTTTGCTTGACAGTCCTTGACTTCACGGAGGTAAAGGCGAATAGCTCCGCCGCCGAAGGGGTTAGTCTCCGGCGAGCCACCATGTTCTTCATAGGCTGCTCTGAGCCTTCCGATGAGTGCATCGAGGCTTCCCCAAGCCTGTCTGAGTGGACAGGTGCAGGGTGCTGGCGGGTCGGGTTGACCGAAAAAGACGCAACCTGGCAAATGGACCTTTGTCTTCCCGAATTGGTCAAGGTATCGAAGGAAATCAAGCACGTGGTTGAAGTTGCACTGAGATAGTGAAACTGGGGGTGTTTGATTCTTCAAGTACTGACCAAAAGTGTTCCAGTCTCGCCGTTTCTGTGATTCATACCTGCTCAGCGGTGCTGCTGACCCCGCCGCCGTTTGTTGTTGCTGATGGCGGTGTTGATCGGCGGTTGCTCGCGATGAGGACGAGCCTTGAGTGGAATCATTAATTTGCATTTCGCCGGACATGGTAATTAGTGTGTTTGTGTGTGTGTGTGATGGTGGAAGGAGTAAATGAAGGTGAAAGAATGTTAGTGCAGTAGAAAAAGATGAAATCACATCTTAGGGTCTTTTGAGGGGACATGTAATGGGCCCTGTATGAAGGTGCTTTTGTTCTCTCTCTCTCATATTTTGTATTTCAACTTTTCACCTATTTGCACTAACTAATGTATATTATTATTATTATTAAAAAAGTATTTCTCCAAAATAAAGTTATCTTCGTTAAGTTCAAAATGATATCGTTTTGAGTTATAAGATTAAAAAATTACAATGATAAAGACTAATATAACTCCGTAATAAATTAGAATTACAAAAACACATTGATTTTTGCCACAAAACGACATCGTTTTGGGCTCATCAGAGATAATATATCTCCATTGACTTAAGAAATCCTTTACCCTATTATTATTTTTATGGGTTATGTGAGTATCCCTTTAAATGACACAAGTTATATTCTTTTAACAATTTTAACAATGTATTCTCGAGAATGTATAGTTATAATATTAAATTTTTTTTTTTTTTTCTCTTTTCAGAAGCTATATGCTGAAACGTGGGAAGTGAAAAAAATACAACTTTAATATTATAATTAAGGGAGAGTTATATTTACAATTTTTTTTTACAAACTCTTACAAATTACGCTATGTACTAGGGGTAGTACACTGTATGTTGGAACTTACTATATATAGTGTAATTTGTAAGAACTTGTAAATAAAAGTTTGTAAATATAACTTTCCCTTTATAACTATGCATTCCCGAAAATGTATAGTTAAAAACTGATAAAATAACATAAGCTTGTGTGCTTTAAAAGTACACTCATTTTTTTCTATTATTATATATGTTTTTGGTTTTTTTTTCTAGGTAAAGAAAAAAAAATATAAGTTAATGTTATTTTCATGATTGATCATATGATCATCGATCATCATTTTCACCATAGCCATTATGACTTGGTAAATTTTGTGTAATTCAAGGAAGCCAATTAGAATTAGGATATCCAGTAGTCGGTGCCTTGGTGCTTATAGTCCAAGCCTGACTTGATTTATTATTATCTTTATATATAAGCATAGTTTAGTCCACTGATCAACTTGGTTATCCTTAGTGAATAATTCTTTAAATATTGTTGGCTAAGGAGATTGATAAATTATTTTATTTGTATGTTTAAAATTCATAACTATACAATGGTTATTATGACCCACATCAGAGAAGTGAACTTATATTGGATGATTTTTTTTTGGAAAACGTGAATTTAATTAATTTAATCATTAAATTATATAATATTATTTTCATGACAATCAATACCGAATTATATATGTATAAAAGGTAATGTTGGAATATTGCTTCTGCTTTATACTTATTTTAGTGATGCATTAGTAATTGCGTGTTATTATTGGCTTTTTGAGTTATAAGATTGATATTCAGCATAGTACCGAAGAAAAGAGCTTGCTGTTATTTTAGTTGCTCTGTCTTTAAGGCTCTTTTTCAAAGTTTGCTTGAATGAGTATAAATTGTGTGAAGCGTAAGTGATGCCTTTGAATCCTGTTTGCAATTTTTCAGCTCTATATGTCAGGTTTGATAGTACATGTCTATGCAGGAATTAACAAAGGGTTATATTTATCTACTTTTACATAAGATAATTACATTTCTTACCCACACAAAAGCTAAGTGGGTCCCAATTTTTTTTTCTCTCTCCTCTTACCTATGGGTCCCACTTGCAATCTTGTTTCTACAACATAAGATAAGCATTTTCCTACAACATAAGAAAATTATTTCCCATTAACAAATCGTATTCTCATAACTGACTCCGAACATTCAAGCAGTAAACTTTTGATACAAAAGTAATATATATATATATATATATATATATATAGAGACAGGATCCTTTGACACCGGTGTCAAAGAAAAAGTTTGACACCTCATCTGAGAGCCGTTAGATTAAAAAAAATCAACGATTCTGATTTGTAAGCATGTGACACCATTGATTTTTTTTAATCTAACGGCCTTCAGATGAGGTGTCAAATTTTTTCTTTGACACCGGTGTCAAATGATCCTGCCTCATATATATAGGGTTAGGATCATTTTACACCAGTGTAAGTTACACTCTTAATCTTGTCCGTTGATCAACTTATATCTAAGGGTTCAATTTTTTTAATAATGTGAACCATTTGATACAAGTGAATCAATGGTCAAGATTGAGTGTAAGACTTCTAACTCTTACACCGGTGTAAGAATATCTTGCCCCATATATATATATATATATATATATATATATATATATATATATATATATATATAGAGGTAGGATCCTTTGACACCGGTGTCAAATTTGAAGTTTGACACCTCATCTAAGAGCTGTTAGATCAAAAAAGATCAACGGTGTCACATGCTTACAAATCAGAGTCGTTGATCTTTTTTTATCTGACGGCTCTCAGATGAGGTGTCAAACTTTAAATTTGACACCGGTGTCAAAGAATCCTACCTCATATATATATATATATATATATATATATATATATATATATATATATATATATACGAGGCAGGATATTTTGACACCAGTGTCAAATTTCAAAATTTGACACCGCATCTGATAGTCGTTAGATCAAAAAATATCAACGACTCTAATTTGCAAGCATGTGACACAATTAATCTTTTTTGATCTAACGACAGATAAGGTGTCAAATTTGAAATTTGAACTGGTGTCAAAGGATCTGCCTATATATATATATATGAGAAAAATATTTCTCAAGTAGCTTGCTATATATTTATCTCCGTCTACCTAAAAATTACGTAGTTTTATTTATTTATTTCCTTATATTAATTGATTCACGTTTGAATGATTATGATTTTCTTTTTCTCTCTCTTCCTTTATTACCATTGATCTATCTTTGTACGGTTATGATTTGTAGACGGAAATAAAATTATCTCAAGCAACTTGAGAAATAATAAGCGCATATATATATATATATATATATATATATATATATATATATATATATATATATATCAATTCCCTTGGCGCTGAAGGTTTAACTTTGCAGAAAAGCATTCAAAATAGGTTAGGATTTAGCACTTTAATTGTGTCTTAATACAATACGATGCAGGTTTTCTTTGTTATTTTTTTCTATTCTATTTCCTCTGTATGTAGGAAATTATTACAATTTCAACGTAGATCTCCATTCTAATCCTTATTTAATGATGTCATCAACCTTAATAGCGCGTGCGCATATATATATATATATATATATATATATATATATATATAGGAGCAGGATATTCTTATATCGGTGTAAGAATTAGAACTCTTACACTCAATCTTAACCATTGATCAACTTGTATCCAATGGTTCACATTACTAAAAAATTTGAGCCCTTAGATATAAGTGAGATCAATGAACAAGATTAAGAGTGTAATTTACACTGGTATAAAATGATCGTGCCCCATATATATGGCTTATTGTTTTTCAAGTTGTTTAAGATAATTTTATATTCGGCTATTGAATTATAATCATATAAAGATGGATCAATGATGACAAAGGAAAAGAGAGAAAAAGAAAATTATAATCATTTAAAATGAATCAATTAATACAAGAAAATAAATAAATAAAATAACATAGTTTTGGATGGACGAAGATAAATATATCTCAGACTGCTTGAAAAATATTTTTCTTTTGCACTCAACTGTTATAATCTCCAATTTCATAATAAAACTAAATAAGTAGATTTGAGGTGGAATATGTAATCATTTACGACAAAGAAACATTTACTGAATAAAGATGGGGTGAAGAAAATTCTACTAATGTATATAGCTTCGTGTCAAAAACTAAAGGTATCCGAGACCCTGAAGAGAAAGATTGGTACAAGTTAGAGAGATATTTGTGTGATGGGTCCATGATTCCATGAGATGTCCCTAACACATTATGGTTCTTGAAGTTTGCACTCAACCTTTTACATTTTTTGTACCGATTGCAGATTTTGGTCTCTTTATGAGCCTATTTATATATATGGAATAAAAGTACTTTCCGATGAACAAAAGAAACCCAAAATGGAAAAGTTTTATGTGCAAATGAGTTCGTATTTTGGAATTCGTGAATTTAAAACCAACAACCACTGCTTAACAATCACCAGTTTTTAATTATTATGAGGCGTGATGGGTTAGCCACATATCTCATGCATATCCGGCATTCGCTGCAAAAGAAAAAAGAATTAAAAAGTTAATTCATCACTTATAATATATCATAAATAGTGATACACAAATATAATTGATTTACAGAGAATTTGAAACTTGAGTCAAGGAATACATTGCTCTAAACTAGGTTTATTAAGGGAGTACCCTGTCAAGAATAATACTCTTGATTTTTCAGTAAGGAGAGTACCTTATCAAGAGGAATACTCTTAAATTTTTGTAAATCACTTTTCTAGAAGTATATTTTGCAAGGTTTCCTTACATCTTATGATTATATTTTATGTTTTGAGGACTAGAAATGAAATAGCCACAGAATAATAATCTAGTTTAAGGGAAAGAATCCACTTTTTGAAAGAGACATCAAAGGCGTAGAATGTAGAGTAAGGTGGTGATTCTCAATTTAGAAAATGCCGTTTGTCGGACCCAAACTTGCCCCTCCCATGTTTTTATCATATTTCTCCCCAAACCTTTGTGCCTCTTTGGTAAGGTAAAGCAAAAGCAAATAAATCAAAACATTCTCGGCAACCAAGCCAAAATTTAAGGCATGTCTAGTCACTATTTGCACGCTCTTTTAAGTCCTATTCTCAAGTTCTCTTTTTAACTCCTTAGTACTGGGAATTCTCTGCCAAAAGCTTTATAGGAGAAATACTTCTTTTCAAGGTGGACCTTTTGAATTTTGAACATCTAATTTTCATTCAGCAAAACCCAATATTTGAATGGTATTTACTAAGTTTATAGGCATGTTACTATGTTTGAAGGAGAAAAGTATACTTGATACTATACTTACTCAC